TCAGTCACACACTGTTGAAAACTCGGCACAATTTATATTTCCTAAAATCTAAATCTTTAAAGGAAAATCAGATACCATTAAAGGGATAATAACTCTTCGTATGAGATCTATATTTCACAATAAAAACATTGTGAATAACTCATAGAAATATAATATATTCTGTTTTACCACAAAAACTGCAGTTATAGCTCAAAATTCTGATATTTGAGCTTGTCTTTAAACCACGTGACCTCCATTGATGGCTATACTCTGTTAAAATCTCTTAAGAGATTTTAACAAAAAAACAAACTTTTTAGAAAAAAACCAGGGACTAACTTTGAATGTAAAAATGGATTTATTAACCATTGGTAAGTATGGGAAAATTGTTGTTTACTCCAGGAAAATTCATTTTTTGGCCGAAACGAAGAGTTATTATCCCTTTAAGCAACAATTTGTGTTTAAAATAAATCTGTACACTATTACACAGATTTAGCTGAATAGTACTTTTATTAGAACTGCAGCATCACAAAGCAGAGACATTAAGTCTGAATCAGTCACATGCAGCACAAACCTAGCCAAAAACTGCAGAATTTATACCATTTTGCCATGGGGGTTAGCGACAGTTTGTTCTTTATGCCCATAAAACATCTCCCATTAAATAACCAGGAAAGTGTTCACACTGGTGTTGTTGAAGATCCACTTCTGATAGCCAATGTAGTGTATGGCTTGCCTTAGGGCACCCTTGGGGGAGGGGGGCACTTGTAGGAGTAAGATCCCTCTCTCATGTAGATGTCACACATTGACTGGGAAATTACCCTACTTACTGTAATTTCATTTGACTCAAATCTAGATAATTATTGTGGCTTTTCGATTTAAAATGTTACTCTTAGATCTTAATTTGTATAATATTTGATTCCAAGGTAAATGACAATTTTTATTCGGCCATCTACTTTTTGTCATCATAGTGATCATGTTTCCATTCTTTGGGTTGATTTTGGAATGCCTAACCCGGCAATTGTTTGTATTTCTAACTGCATAAACTGTTTTTTGTTCGCATCAACTGCTGATTGCTTGGTACCAAGCTGTGCACCCACCATGAAAGAGCACAGGCAGGGTTATTTTATTTTATTTATTTGGTGGAAGGGGGGGGGGGGTAGAAAGAACCACCCTTTTGGTCCAAAAAGGTCCAGTCTTCAAATTATGAGTCTTTCAAATTTTGATCAAGGTTCTTTGCCATTTCTCAAGTTACATCAACTAATCATGGGGTGAAAAAGTCCGCTTTTTCATTTTCAAAAAAAGCATCCATTTGGAAATTGCTGAACACAGGCCTGGAACACAGATCTAGCCATGGGATCCACTATTCTGTGTGGACTCTGTTCTAGTGGAGGTTCATGACCGGTTTAGTGCCAGTGTGAACAGTACCAGGCTAGCATTCTTCTTCCCTCAACCAGCCAGCATAGGTCAGATAAGAATCTTTAACATCTTTAACTCATAAAGCAATGAAGGCTTTTATAATGGGAAGGCCAAGGCTAAGCTGGCAAGGGAGGTGCTTTAATTCTGTTAATGTCATCTGATGTGCTGCCTTAGCGTAATGCATCCTCCTCCTCTTAGCATCTCCTCCTCCTCCTCCTCCTCTTTTTCCTCTGAGTCTTTCTGATCCTCCTCCTCCTCCCAGCATCTCTTTCTCCTTCTCCTCCTCCTCTTACACCTCCTCTTCCTCCTAGCATCTCCTCCTCCTCCCAGCATCTCTTATTTCTTCTTCTCCTTCCCTTCCTCCTCCCAGCATCTCTTCTTCCTCTTCCTCTCCTAGCCTACTAGCCTATGGGTACCAAATGGATAGTAGTATATTTTCCATATATAAAAATTAACGGCTAGTATGTATGGATCTTGTTTGTGAAATTTCACACTGTGTGATATGTTTCTGATGTTTGTATAAGTGTTGTGTTGTTAGCTATGCGCCAGATGGCTCAGTATTTTCAATTTATTATGTAGGAAATGAGTTATTGTGGCAATATTTTTTTTCTGTTTTCCAGCATTAGAGACAAAACTAATAAAATTCTTCCTTTACCCTCAAGCATGGTAGGGATATGCCTATTTATACATATGTTCCTATATACAGATTTCATACGTGCAATTTAATAATCCCCCCTGGGGTTTCTAACAATTTCAAACTTTTTTTAGATCCATCTGGTGAATATATTTTTTATTATTCCAGTAACATAATAGACGAAATATAGTAGATGCTTTGACAAGTTTTTATAAAAGATGGTGTTATCTTTCAAACTCAGTTACACAGGGTGACACTCATGCAGTCACAGAGTCAGCTGGAAGTCCAGAAGCCCCCCCCCCTCCCCGCCAAACACAGAGAGAGAGAGAGAGAGAGAGAGAGAGAGAGTCCCACCCACCAAAGTTAATACCAGAGTTCACACCCTCAGGCCTGTAGGCAAGTGGGAGGGGGGTCTGGAGGTTCAGAGGACCGTCCTTTAGCCCAATCTGACTAATAACTTAGTATGACTTGGTCATTTCTCATCTTGGGTTAAATAAAAAGGTCTATATTTTCCGGAAAAAAAACCTCTCCTTCCCCACTTTTGAAATTGCTACATACAGGCTTCTACCCTGCTGTTAATATTATTACGTTTTAGATAGCCTGCCCCTCCCATATCTCTTATGGCGATAAGTGCTTCTTTTCTGGAGTTCTGAATTATTACAGAAAACCTGATATGCACATGTGGAGGTCCTCTATAAATATGATGGGATACACAGATGTCTTCCCCGTGTTTTGTGATAATAATCAGATTTTATCTATATGAGTTGCTGAGCTTTGGAATATAGAAGGAACTTGGTCCACTTAGAAGGTACTGTTTTTATAACATTTTTTCCCTTTTTTGTTTGGTAAAGGGGTGTGATAACAATGTATATCATCAATGTTTAAAAGCAGAGGGGACAGCTTTCTGAAAAAAAAAAAATCATCTCCAGAATTTTAATGTGCATCAGTCACAAATTGACAAAAAATATTCACAACTTACAAATGAGAATGATTTTTATTCTTAGCAGCTGATACAGATATGCATGTGACATTTTGTAGTTAATTTAAATGCCCCCCCGATTCCACATCAGAGGATTTTGGTTGCTATGGTAACATCCGTTTAAGAAGTTTGTACCATGATTCATGTGTACATGATCTTGTATTCAAACATGTTATGTTTTTTTTCTTTGTGCTTCCTCTGACTTTTGAACAAGGATTATTAAAATCACATGGTCGGGAATGAATAGAATTCAATTATCTATACAAATAAGAAAAAAGTCTTATTTAATTGGGCATGTTGCTAGTTTGAAATTACAGTTCTGGGTGAGGGAATGGGTAGCTCAACAAGGGCTTTAGTCAGGATTTTGAAAAAAGGAGTTCCAGATTTTTTTTTTTTTTTTTTTTTTTTACTAAGCATGCCATCTAGGCTCCATAGCTTTCAATGCTAAAAATCCGAAAAAAAATATAGAAAAAAGTCCAAAAGCAGGATATATCCAAATGACGCCATTGACGGTTGGACAATTACCTGTGTTATACTGAGCTTAATGGAATTTTAATTCATTAAAACGAAAGAATGGAAAATTACTTGTGAAGTCACAATTCCATGAGAATTATGATAGGTTCAACCATAATTCTCCCTTTAATGAGCAATTCCTTTATGCAGCCAAGATACTTTTCAGTGCACTTGTATAATTTTAATATTAATTTTCCACCAGATATAATACATGTACAAGTTTTATGTGTTTAAACTCAATTTCACATTGAGCTGCATTATTTCTCCCTTAATGTGAAATTACAATAAAGACGGACCAGCATATATATATGCATATCTCCACATCTGGTAGGAATCTGCATAACATCTACCAGAACAATGATCTTTTCTTGCCAAAAGGCATTAAAATCTCAACACAAAGAAGGTGATTATGTCACTTTTCCATTATCTGTCTATGGGTGCGTTCACAATAAAACTGTCGTACCAGGTGGTTCAAACCAACTCTGTTGGGATTCACTGAATGAAATCTGATTAACAGTTTGATTGATCTACAGTGATCCATAGTTTCATTGGGAATGGGCCCTAAAGCAGGCCTTATTTTTGATCCAAGATTTTAGACCAATGAGCCTTAGGCTCTATTCCCATAGATTTTAGATCGATCTATCCCCGCGGGGAGTCTCACTAGATTACTTTCAGATAATCCGACTTAAATGTCCATCCCGCCTGCTACAAGCTGTAAGGAGGTAATTAACTTTCGTGTCCGCCCGGCTGACAGCTATTTAGCGTGAACCCCCAGGGAGTAAGGTCGATCTAAAGTAGGTCAATCTAATCTCTGGAAATGGGGTGTTAGAATAGAGGCTATAGTTTTGTTTAACTGGCTCCTTCCTATCCATGCATGCCACACACTGAAAAGGTGCCAAGGCTACTGAGTTTTAACTGGCTTATAATGATGAAGTAGCTTTTTTTTATTTTGTTAACTGTAATTTTTCTCAGTTTTGATTTGTGTGTCAAGGTGATCTTAACATAAAACTTAAATTGGCTTAGATTTAAGTTTTTTTTTTTTAGTCAGTTTCATAACGAAAAATGTCAAGATTGTTATTTGCAATCTTTTTCTTTTTTCAACAAGGTTATGTTTCATAAAAAATATCTATATTGTTCAAAATGTTATGACTTCTAGTCATGTTTACTGTCAATATGACTATTAAATACTTTTATTAAAGTGCAGTAAATCGGGGTCTTCAAATTATTAGGTCCATGTGAAATTCTACAGCCACTTATTAAAAGCTACTTAAGTAAAACATTTAATTGTTCTTTATCACAATTTTATCTTTTCTGGATGAAAGCCATATCTTATAATTCATCTTTTCATACTGCTTTATTGTCTTTCTTTTTCCTCATATGTCTCCCAAAAATTAGCATAAATAAGAGATATGCCCAGTCCTCTTAAACCATAGTGACATATATTAAAGGAATGCTGCCTTCATCTTTTGTCTTACAACTTGAGAAATTAACATGAAAAATAGATCATTATTATCATGCCTCTAACCCAAATATGCATACTCAGTTAGAGAAATGTTGAATGAAATGTAGCTTTTCCGTGTGCGTCGTACAATTTGTGGCATTTACATAAAAAAGAGATATAAGGGAGAGATGGTCACACCATGGTCATTAGTTGCTGACAGTGTACATTTTATACACCCTGTTATTGCGGATACTACTGGCCCTTGGAGGGACAATTAACTCAGTGATTTATTTTGATTTCTCTTAAGTTTGCCATATCAGGTAAGCCATATATCACAAAATAGTTCCACCTCTTCCCATCCAAAAATAAACAAATATATAAATGAAATAGATAAATAGAATACGAGTAATACATTCAGGAAAAGTTAACTTGGAAAAACATAGGTCACTTTTTTTTTCTTTTGCTAAGGGCAAATTTTTTCCAGTTTTTTGGAACATTTGATCATTTTTTATGTTTCCTGTGTAGGTAACAGAGATAAATGAGAATGGAATGGGAAATAGACTGTTTTAAATGGTTGTTATGTAGTTAAGATATTTGCTTCAGGCCTAGAATTATACATATGGGAATTTTAGCATTAAGATAAAGGTAGCATTGAAAGGGAATGTTTGGGACATAGAACAACAGATTTTGAAGTATTATGTAATGTTCTGTAGTGCAAAAAATGGAACCTAGATGAAATTCAACAAAGGTTTGATGCAGCTGATTTTTATTTTCTGTAAAACAGCTTGAATAAGTTGTGTTTTTCAGAATGCCTGTACGTCACTGAAGTCAAGTGAAAACGACAATTCTTATAACTGGTGTGCAGAAACAATGAGCACTTTTTCCACCAGGCATCACTTATTTTGAAGAAATATTCCACTTAAATTTTCTTTTATGCAAATCCTTCCAAATTAAACCCCACTGATTTAAGATGCAAACCAGATGCTAATGTATTCATTTTTTCAAAAATTTCAGGATAATAGCATGCAACTACTATGACAATACGGCACCTGGAGAGTTGAAGAGGTGAAGATTACAATGGCTGTAGAGTTGAAGAAACTGGATGCCATATGTGCCAAACTGCACACCAGTGTCAAAGAGGAGGACGATATGGAGGGTGACGGCCAGCTGTCCACAGGTGTCACCTCCCAAGATTCTGCCAATGGTGGAGACCATGAAGTCGGAATGGGAAATAGGAGTAGCAGTATTTCAATGGAGGTTCGTTCAGCCTCTTTTGTGCCAAATGTTAATATAAATTCCTCTCCACTCGCAGCACCGACCACTACAGCGTCCTCATCGAGAAAGAAGCGAAGGAAAAATGCAAATCCTCGTAATATTGCAGCTCAGGTACATGTGTTCGCGTTGGAGGATGATGATGAGGAGGAAGATTTTAAAGATGAACTAGCGGAGTATGCCATCAATAACAAGGATATAGACTTCCAATCTCTATCTGCTGAAGAAACCAGTACTGTTGATGGTTCAGAGATTGATGGGTTCCGAAATCGGGACCACCACTTTAACATTGGCAGCAATGGGGGTGCAACAACGGTGGCAGCGATGGGATTATTGAATTATGATGATAATAACATCAGCAGCAGCAGCAATATGAAACAAACAACTGTGATAGAACCTGCAGGGACCTCTATGATGAATGGGGACGCTCAAGAGGCCATTGATTTATCTTTGTGCAATTCATCCAGTATGTCTGCCGATTTAGCCTCTGTGCGCCACAGCTCTATGAATTACTCTGATGGCGAGGAGGGAGAGGAGGAGGGAGTAGAAGACATTATGGACGACTCTACTAGTGACCTTATCAATGGAGACGTGGATGGTGATCCTAGAGAGACAGTTTCTCTAGTTTCTCCGGCAATCAATGAAAATGCAAACAAACACTATGCAAGTAGCAGCAGCGGTGAACACTCAGAAGCGGTGTTGTCAAACAGCGCTGATGCAGCTGCGCTGAAGAACTATGCAGAATCCACCATGAACGAATTGCTCAGTTTTTATGGACTTGAAGAAGAGGCCGAGTCCATCGCTGATAGTGTCCCTCTTCAGAATTTTAGCACGGGAAAAATTCTGCAGAGAACCCATGGCAACCAAAAGAAAGCTAAGACAAGTCACTATGTGAAATCACCCAAGACAAGCCCGTCCAAAAAACCCAGTAATGCTATGCTGAGTAAATCTGCCTTGACTGAAACCATATATTCCAAGTTTGCCAACATTTCTTCAGTGCCTTCAGGTAAGATTATTATTATTATTATTATTATTATTATTATTATTGATTCGCATTTTGTTTCTTTTCTTTTTTTTTTTCTGTTTTTCCAATTATTTATTATCTATTATTTCATTTTTCCTACTTGGGCAAGAAATGATTCGTTTTCTGTCTGTGACTTTCTCTAGTTAGGAAGACAAAGTTTCCATTGTGTATTTAATAGCTAATACAGCCTTATAGCTAATTATTCTTTTGCTGTATCCAATATGATAATTCTGTATGATAATGTCACTGCTGTATTGAACATATTTAAGTCCAGTACCTGCATATCATGTTCGAAATGAATTTCTGGCAAATGATAAAAGAAAATTATGGGTGTGTTACTGTGTGTAGAAAAAATGTGTGGCAGTCATTTCATCTCTCTCCTTTCTGTCTTTCTTATGGTCACTGCCTCTCTCTCTCTCTCTCTCTCTCTCTCTCTCTATGCCTTTTTTCATTTATTCTATCTTTCTGACTTTTTCTGTTGGCATTCATATTTTTAAGTTCCTGCCTCTTTCTATTTTTGGTGCTTAATCCATGATTTCATCAGTCTGTCAGTCAGTCTATCTGATGAACCGTCATACCTCTTCCCCCCCCCCCTTCCCATTTCTTGAACCTCAGTCATGTACATAGGAATCTATCAACCCTCCAGTTCATCTCTCCATGCCACCTGTAAAGTGGCTGTGTGAGCTGACTGGGACATAATGAGAAGTGTTGCCACTCAATTACACATCCAACTGATTGGGTCAATACTTGTTATGATCATGGTGAGACAGGCTAATCCTAGTGAATGAAATAGTGTGATGAGTATCAGAGCGCATTCACAACAGCGGGCTAACAGATCCACGGCTCAAATATGGCCGACCCACTTGTATGCTTGTTGCGCAATCCCAGCAGGGAATCTGTTCAGTGTCTAATCGGGAATTAAGTGGCAAGATTTTTAGTGGGTCGCCATATTTGATCTGCGGATCTATTAGTCTGCTGTTCTGAATGCGCTCTTAGATAGAGTATGATCTAGTCAGGGAGCTTTGCGTAAAACACAGTATATTAATTGACTAGATGGAGTTGAGACGATAATCCCGTCTATTTTGCATAAAGCTTCGCGGGCAGTGCTTTAACTGACTTAAACTGTGGTTCGTGCACTACAAGTCTAAACAGTATGGCTTTAAGATACTGACTTAGAGTTAACGTGTGCGTAATTATGATAATTGTAGCGTAGACTTGACATGATACAAAAGTACATGTGACACATTAAATACTAGTAGGTATTCTTAGTTTTTTCTTAGAAACGAGTTGGAATTGATTAGAGTGCATTAAAAGTTTGACACCCCACCTCCCACCCCTTAAGTTGCCGTTTTCATTTTTGCAATAGGACAACAGTTTTATCATTACCCACTGGAAAATGCTACAAAATTATTCAGTTGCAGTCTAATGTTAATTTTTGACACTTCGTTTATGCAAAATATCCCCTGGTCTGCTTACTTAGATATCCCTGGCTTAGAACAACTGATTTCAATGCCATTCACCGCTCATTTTTTTTTCTGCCAGAAGAATGGCAAATCCATTTGCCTGTCCTCATAAAGATTTGGAAGTGTGCAAAATCCATTGCAGCGCTTTTATTATTGTGATTGATCTTTTCTGCACTTTCGTACAGTGTGTGCGGTCACAGAAATGTGGTTCTAACATTTGTTATCTGATGTAATACATTAGTTGAGTTATTTCATAGGTTTTTTGTGGGATTTGGGAACATTTTTTGCAGCAGTTAAGTATGTGACAAGTGGTGTATTTCTCAAGAAAAATTTGAGAGTTATTTTGCAGTTTTTCCACTTAAACTTGGATGATTTACATGAGACCGCAGTTTAAATGTGGTGGTGGTTTTCAAAATGTAAACAGAAAAAAATGTAAATGTTTTTTTTTTCTTAAGAATTAGAGTCAGCTGACATTTTTTTTGCATTATGCCTGAATTTAAGTCTGCTGACTTTGTCATTTACTTTCAGTTAGAAAAAAAAAAGAGGAAAAGTTGGCATTTTTACGTGCACATGTATGGTCTCACATACCAGTATACACCATAGAACTCGCAGAAACCTAAATGAAGTGTTTTGTATGAAGCTATGATATGAAGTACATGCAAAAAGTGTAGTTCTTCCAAATTTAATTTTTGTATTCTTTTTATCATCACACAAAGACAACCATTTTGTGGATTGTGCACAGTGACAGTGGAATAACCTATGTAACATCGTATATTGGCAGTTTTTCTTCATCATGTTGTTAAGCAGAAAAGCACATACAGACCTCAACAGATGTACGATAAATATACATAAATACATGCTACCCTTTCCCCTTTTTATTTTAACAAATGGAATACTTATAGCATGTCCATCAGACGAAAAACTACTTGTTGTCCATTACTGTCAGTCATGTTAAAATTTCTTTTTCATAATGGTTTTCAATTCTGAGAAGCAGGTCCTCTTTTTGTGTGCGAGTAAGAAACAAAAAAGTTTCTCAGGAAATTACGGTAAACCTTGTAATATATTTTTATTTTTTTGGGGGGAAAAAGATGTTCTGTTTGATTTTCTGTATTTGTTGTTTCTAGTGGTATTCTGTTACAACAGAGAGCACCCAACCTTTGTAATGTTGTGACATTACACAATGTAGGCCATAATATCAACAGTGCAAGCGCTGCTTTTTGGGAGATCTAAAATGTCAAATCTCTATGGTGATGCAATGATGTATTTATCATTTTCTCCCATGTTTTGTCTAGTACGAGTAGCGCTCATGATGTTTTTCCAAAGAAAAAGTCGTTATTATAGTTGAAATAACAAGTCGTGTTTTTTCTCTTTATTAAAAAAAAACATTTCTTTATTCATATTCTGTGAGCAAGTTCAGTTAACACATATTGATATATTGACTCAAAATACCATGTTGTCTTGTCGTGAATGGCCAACACCAAATCTTAAACAGTGTAAGTCTTAACAAAATATAGTTTCTTCTTGATTTGAATGTTTTTATAGATATTAAGTACTTCTCCAGTCACTTGGTTTAGCATACAACTCACAGATTTAACTCATTTTAAAAAAGTGTAAAAGATAAAAAAAATGTGGAAGATTATAATGACTTATTGTTCTCTCTCACGATAATAAGTATGCAAGTGAACAAAGACTTTATTTTTTTAATAAAATATATATTAAAAACAGCAAATGGGGTTAAGGATTTGGGCGAGTCAGGAAAAGAAAGATTTAGACAGTTTTTGATGTCATGTATTAGTCTCCACTTCACTGGGCGGGAAACTGGAAATTGTTACACATACCACTGCTTGTAATCCTTCAAACTTTTGGAGCACCTTGTAAAAGCGAAAATGCAGCAGGAGCTTAATGGAGGGGAGGAGGAGGGGGGGGAGTAAGCAAACTACCTTGAGGACGTCTGGTAATTTATGGGGAATTTGGTCCTTTGAGCCATGGACTAAGTTTATTGAGAAGACAGTGTTTTATTTATTTATTTTAAATTTATTTATTGTTTTATCTTTTAAAAACTTTATTCTCCAAACCAAATACTAGATTTGTAAAAAAAAAAAAAAAAAAAAAACAAGTTAAAGAAAAAAAAACGAGAAAAAACATTTTAAAATAAACTATTATATCCAAGAAATGTAACCATTATACTTCCTAAAGACCCTATTTCATGACAACATTCACCTAAAAGCTTGAGACAGGCTTTCACATAAAAAATATTGAGTGGTTTATTTCAAAGAAACCGCAAGTGACCCGAGTTGGTGGCAAGCCGCTGTACAACTAGATAGGGGTGGTGATAAGAGCTGTCGTCACATGAAGAAACAGTTACCCCGTACGTGATAACTAGATGTAATGGATTGGTACACAGTCCAGAACTGTAACTTTCGTAGAGGGTTTTACCTGGGCTCATTCATGTACTGTCTTTTACAGTGATTTTTATTTCATCTGTACTTGGTATTTTTTTTTCTTTTTTTTTTTTAAGTATGTACAGCATTATTCATTTACCCCACAGTTTTTTATGGACTTCTAGAAAGAACTTAGGCTGTGCTTTTATGTCTGAATTTTAGTGTTTTTATTTCATCTATGTTTGGTAATTTTTTTCTTTTTTCTAAGTGTGCTTGTGTTTATTGAGAGGGAGTGGATGGATGGGTGTATTACTTATATGTAAGTCAACATTATTTATGAATGTAAAGGCATTTTTGGCTACCCTGGAATATAGATTATGGTATGGGTCATTAAGTTTTATGATCTCTTCCCCCCCCCCCCCCCCCCCCCCTTCACGCTGCCTCCCCTCCCCCCCCCTCCTACCTGTCACACTTTAAAATGCCCTTACTTAGTTATCTACCATATTTCCCTAGTGAAACACAGCTCAAAACAAATCATCCAGTGTTTATTATGTTCTAATGAAACATTTTTCAGGACGATCATCTACTGGGGAAAATAACAAAAGAAATTAAGGGGAGAGAATTTTGAAAAAGAATGTAGAATGCACTGCCTAACTTGTACTTAACCTTTGCTGTTGTAAAGAGCAATGGGGTTAATGTGAAACGTAAACTAGTCAGGATCATTGACTGAGAACCAGGGTAACAGTTGGGTTCAACGTCCAGCTTTCGCTCAAGTGAGATTTTCATTGGCTGCAGCAGTCAAGGCCAAACTGGGTATTTTCTTATTAATCGATGTCAAAGCCAATTATTAATATTTTTTTTTTAAGAATGAAAACAAATTTAAGAAATTGAAAAAGGAAATTGCTTTTAGTATAAGAACATGCATGGATGGACATGTCTCACATGCATGTAGGTTTGTTACAGGGCAGCATGTTTCTAGTGGAATTAGGCAAATGACTGAAAATGAAAAAAAAAACTATTGATATCTGATATTGATGGCACTTCTGGTGATAACTACCTCAGAAAGCTATACTGTAATCTAATTCATCATTTCTAAAATATAACCAACATAACATCCCCTTAATCAGAACCTATTAGC